TGGAAAATGTTAGGTTAGTGAGCATATCAACAATGATAATAGTGATTATTTATTCCTCTCCATACTACACTGTGTTTGACTTGATAATCAAATGAAGCTAAACAATATCGTTGTTTGAGACAAAAAAACTATTGCTTGCCGTGATTATTCAAAGACAAGTTATCCATCCCGAGAATAACGAATGAAATACAGATCAAGCAAGTATTTGAATCTTGAAGGCTTCCCTGATCAAAACAAAAATACTTAACTGAGATGTTTATAATTCCAATAAGGTGTATTTATATCTGCAGCATGGGTATGAAATGCCAAATCTGCTGAAATCGGAAACAAATCAGGTATGCGTCTTAACCCAAATAACCAACCGTCACAATGTTGTTTATTCTTGATGACATCCAGTACATCCTCTTTAGTTCCTAGGAGCTAAAGTTTAACTTTAGCTCCTAGGAACTAAAATTCAACTTTAGCTCCTAGGAACTAAATATGTTGCCTAGTAACATACCTATTTTTGTGTCAGTAATAGAAACGTCAATTTAAGAGCTAATTTTGGTGTCAAAATGGACGACTTTTGTGTCGGTTGCAGAAAAATGTGTTTATAGCCTTTGGCTTTTAATGGCCATCGGACCATTAATAATAATAATAATAATAATAATAATAATAATGTGAGAGCCCGAGCGACACGCCTAGGTCCATAAAAACAAGTTACGTCCGACATACATACAACATTTTTCATTGTCAATAGTAGTAATAATAATAATAATAATATTAATAATAATACTTTTTCATTGTTTACGCACAACCGGGCGTAAATTAGCACTTGGTAGTTGGACCTTGGTGTGTTACTTACTGTCTTACTTACACGCTACGGTCGATAGAAGCATATTTTTCGGCCTTATGGCTTATTTTAGGTACCTTATGATTGCAGTGAGGAATATCATTGATGGAATCAACGTTACCATCGTAACTCATTGAATATTTCGAAATAGGAGTAGACTATTATTTTCTTGTCAATTTATGTCACCACAGATAACTCATTTTGGATCATATCATTATTTGCATCACAGAAATATAAATAGAACTGTGATTTCATATGATGTACTATCACAACTAAGACATACATGTGCTGAATTATTCAGGAGTGCTAAAGTTCTACTTTTCGCCAGCAAAACCGGGCGGTAAAGTGTTACTTAACGCCCAGTCGTGCATGAAATAATTTTTCTACAAACGCTTAACAAAGTAGCCTTTGATGCTTTCAAATGCCAGCACAAAGTTGACGTTTTCCCAGAAATGTCATTCTTTGACAGCATTTGCGCTCGTGAGCGGAAATATTGAAAAAACGCTCGCTTATCTCTGTAACCTATACTTATCTATTCTTGAAAACCCCCAATTCTTTCATGATGGAAAATAGTGACAGTGAATCATCAAACACACCTCTTTCCTGATTATATAGCAGAAAGCGCAAGAGTTTGAATCTCTTACCGGAGAAATCAAGGAAGAAATATGAATTATAATATGATACATTCATAAATTGGTGCCACTCCGAGATGGTGAATATGTATTCATAAAACGTTTTACTGGCTTATTTTGGTAAAAAATCAAAGACTTTGAAGTCTATATATTCGATGGTACGTATACATGCTTGAATGTTGTGAAGATAAAATCGGAATCAATAAGTATCTGAAACTTATCGCATTTCTCAAGAAACAATCTATTGGATATAAAGCGAGAAAAATCCAAAACATTCACCGCTGAAGATATATACCAACAAATTTCTACAAGAAGTTCCCGATGAAGCATATCTGTTGAACACGATGAATTATACTTTATATTTAAACTCTTTGTTGTCATCAGAAAGACAGTGTATCTTCATTTTATTGCTCAGGTTGCCACGCTGGTGGTCCAGTTTCAATTCTCGGTAGGCCCGACATTTTTTTCTGGCTTGTCAGTTATTTCAATTTTTCTTTTTTTGTTTCCTTTGGGCATATGGGATAATATGGATTAGAACTTTCTCAACTATTTCAATCGCTCATACTTTCAGGGTAGTTATTTCCAAAAGCTGCGTTAGTAGAAAAAATCTTGTGTGTATTTCGAGCACAAAGTGTTATTGCCGCTCTCCAAAGATTTTCTCTAAATACACAAATACCTATTATTTACTACTGGACTAGTTGTTTTCAATCCCTCAGTAAATTTTTCGCATGGGGATTAAAACTGCCACCCTAGTCCATGTGTTCATAATCTACTATTGATTTGAAAGAGATGAGGTCACTTCCGTGACAGTGCCTGAGTGATAAGAGTAAGATAAGGGTAGTTGACACCCTATTGATTAGAAACAGCATGAAATGATGGAGGACTTGTATTTCTAAATTGCATATCAACGATTTTGTTTCCGTCATAACAACAATTATGTTAATCGAGGAGGTGGTACATTCATTTTACTTGATTCTTTGGGATATTCTCTCCTCGTTTCTATAAAATAAAAATATTCGTATTATTTCAATATATTTTTGTAGAGGAACAAATCGGTTGTTTTGCCCCAAATGTCACTGCGTTTAGCAAATTTTTCTATCAGGGAGTCTTAAAAAAAAATTCCAGTAGCTTGTCAGTGAGAATTTGTTTGAAAAAATGTTTGAAGGAAAGAAATATAGATACATTTATTGAAAAAATATCGAATTTTTACTTCTCTTTGGACGTTTCGGAACCGAATCTGCTCCTGTTCTCAACATGTAAATGTAAATATGATGTTGGCATATGATCGAGTTATTTTAGTCTACAAATGAGTTACAAGATGTTTCCATTAATTGATCTTGAATCTACCATTTTCATGTTCAGATTTCAGTAGTGAATATCATGTTCTATCTATATCAACTGAACAGGAAGCAATGCTATTGTCTCCGTTTAGAAGAATGCAAGCGGATTCCTTGAATTTTCAACCAAAAAAGAAAAATGATGTACAAAAATGAAATCTATTTTATACAGCATGCCTCTTTAAACGCACCCGCCCCCGCCCCCCCTATATCTCAGCTATTATAGTAGTGCAATTCCGATATAAATAACCATCAATATGATCAGTTTTTCAGTGACTAACAGCCTTTTGGACAGTGCCCTCCTTTTTTATTGAAATATAAAGGGGTCGTTTATTATGAAATTACATTAGGATTTTTTTTTGCAAGAAAACTAACTCCATAATATTGTTCGTCATGCTTTCAACCCTCCATATGCACAAAATTACCTCATTCCGAATCAACAGAATTGGCTCAATTTTTTTTATTTTCAGCCTCGCAAAAATAGTGAATTGATGATATTAACTACAAATTTTGGAATGTTCAATAGCTCTGGTAAATATACTATTTTATGTTGAACTCCGAGTTTCCTTCATAATATAATTCAAATTACTTCATAATATCATTAGATTATTTTCAATTCCATTCAGAGTATCTTGAATCTCAAGTATTCTGATTAATTCTCAAATCCTTTTTGATTACTCTTCAGTACTTCTTAATCACATTAATTACTTCAAAATATTTTCTAAATATTTTCATTACTTACAAATATCACATACTTTAAATATGATGTACACTTTTATAGAGAGTTGTTTGCCCCTCGATTAACATGTTGAGAACGGGAGCATATTCGGTCCCGAAACGTCAAAGATAAGTAAAAATTCGATATTTTTTTAATATATCTATATTTCCTTCCTTCAAACATTTTTTCAAACAAATTGTCACTGACAAGCTACTGGATTTTTCTTTTAGACTCCCTGACAGAAAAATTTGTTAAAACCAGTGACATTTTGGGGCAAATCATCTGATTTGTCCCTCTACAAATATATTGAAATAATAGGAATACTTTTATTACATTATTATTATTACATTACATCACCAGTTATTTCACTAACAACTAGTTATTTAAAGTAGGACGTTTCAAAACTTCCGTCAGTATTGAAAAGTGTCATATTACATTTCAATTTTCAAAAAAATAGATGTAATTAACTGTAGTGGTAGTGATATCACAATAGATTGAAAATAATTCAAAAGATCAAATATTTTTTATAACTTGTTTTGTTTCAAACGAGGTTTCAAAGAAGGAAATACTTTTGATTTTGTATCTCCTTGTTAGTAACTGAGTAACCCTACACCCTACAATTATTCTTGGGAATCAATAATGAATGAACAATCGATTTTCAAATATATTTTCAATCTTCTTAGAACAAACCAATTGAAAAATAATAAAATGATCACAATATATTAAAGTGACATTTTCAATATCAAATAATGAGTAGGTAAGTTTTACCTACCTATAATTAGGTAGGTGTCTTGAATTATTTAATTTTTCCACAGCAATCCAATCTTTATATTCAACATGAAATAGTGGGGCGTGGGCAATAACATTTTGCATAAATTACATTTTAAATCATAAACATTAGGTGAGAAGTATTGTAACTCATATAACTCATAACCTTATAAGGATTGGTGGAAACCATAGACTTGGAAACAAGGTAATCAGCTGTTTTTCCTTGACTTCAGAATTACTGCCAAGATTTTCCTAGCTTTATAGTTTATAGCCAAGTTGATGATTTCATAATAATTTGGTAAACAAATGAAAATTGTACTAAAAATAAAGAGAGATGTTGGCATTATTTTAAATATGAATGACTCATTATTACACCTTTTGGACAGGCATTAAGTCCAGGACGTTCAGGTTTCTTTGAAAAGATTAAAATTTGATATGAAATTAGGACAACGCCTACTACTAGGTATCACTACTTCACATGACATCCTCTTCACATGTAAAATTGAAGATAAATAGGTATTCTCGAGGGTATTCTCAATTCTCTGATAGGAGAATAATGATAATATCCTGTTTCTAGGATATTTGGTGAATTGACAATTATTTGTTAGAATATAGACGTTCAAATGAAGAAAATATAAAATAATATTCAATTCTCCAAGAATAACATCCAACTCCAGAAAATTTGAATATCCCAAAAACAAAATTATTTTTACCTGTTGTGCAACTGGATCCAAAATAGATTCAATTGTTTTCGTGTGGAAAACTGGCATTTTGATGTTTTTAATAACTTTCACTTCCAAATGAAAATCAATCACTGCAAGAAAATTTGAAAATAAAGAACAAAAATAATAATAAATAAAGATAAACTTGGAAGAAGGATACTTCAATAAATGATAAATGTCACTTTCTTAAGGAGATCGAAGACCAAATGAACGTCAAAAGCAACACTTTATTTTCACCGTATACACGTGTGAGAGATTTCCGTATTGTATTGTTCCGATTGGTCGTGGACGAGAACCCACACAAAACCCACACCATGGGCGTCGCCACTGCAGAGAAAATGGGGACCGTGCCTCCCCCTTGGCTTATGGTTCATGTATTGAAAAATAATATTCAATCAGGCCTGAACAATGCACAATAAACATGCATGAAAAAATCTGAAGCTATCCCTTTTTGAGTATTTTTCTACGTTCTTATGTGTGCATTATTGATTTTGGCGGCCGACTATATGATAATTAAATATTTTAAAAATTTGAAAAAATTATACAAACAGGAGTGAATTATAAAAGTTGCTGAAAATCAAAATCTAGGTCAATATTATGAATTTCAAAATTTGATGGTGTTAGGTATAGATATTTATCTGTTTTGTTTGAAATAACTTTCACAATTATTAACTTCCGCTACAAAAAAACACTCCACAGAAAAATCGTTTGTTTTTCGAATATTCAAAACATACCTACTTTTAATAAATTTTTCATAACTGAAATTATGTTCGTAATTGTTCTTTCAGCAAGAATCAGGGCTGAAATAAACAAATGAAAATACGAATCGAACATTTTTCATCTTCTATACACCCCAGCCAGAGAGACACAAAACGATCAATAACCCAACTTTTGGACAGGTGAATCACACTATATACGAAGCACAAATATAACACAACCCGAGGATAGCGATTGGCCCGAAACAATCACAAATTCTAACTCAATTAATAAATTACAGGAATAGTAATTATTTCACGTAATGCAAAATCTTTATGATTCCTACTTTCCAAAAAATCAACAGAGCCCAAAAGTCACGTAAACCCTACAAAAAAATCAGATTCTAGACGTCAGTCCCTGCGGATTGTCATGCTTTTCAAAAATGTCCACCCCCCAAAACGATGAACTCTTGAAGTCACAAGCCCCATATGTGGACTTTCAAAATATGAGGACCATTACGCTGCAACCCTATCTATCCTATACAGGGTGTTCCAGAGTTGTGGTGATGGACGCCTACATAGGGGAGATTTTTCTCAACAAAACATGAAAAAAAGTTCACATGGAAATGGGTCCGAGAATGCAGCGTTTCCAAGGGTGTCCAAGTTCAAAAAATGAGTTTTTAAATATTTATCCCAACATTTTAGGATCGCATACATTCTAGAGAGGTTATTGAGTTTTTGTTCTCATAAATAATAATGTGCAATACATTTTTGGATAATTTGTATTCTTCCTTATGCAGTTCTTCTCGAAAACGAAGCAAGATACGAAATGATAGCAAGAGACCGATATGTTTTATTTTAAGTGAGTTCGTCTGGATATTCAAGAAGAACTCTTAAAAACACAAGAGTGACTTTTATTCCTACAAAAAACGTCGACTTGCTCGATGGGTACGCCCCTGGAAATTCTGGAACAAATCTAATTGGTCCAGTAAATGGCTGATGATTTCGTGAATAAACCATGAGAATTTCATTCGAATCGGCCCAAGCGTTTTCAAAATATTGATGAAAACCATTTTTTTTTTTAACTTGGACAACCTATTGTATCTCGGAAACGAAGCATTTTCGAACCCATATTCATATTAACTTTTTGTTGAGAGGAATCTCCCCTATGCTTTTGTCACTACAACTCTGAAACACCCTGCTTAGTCAACCCGAGTTATTAGTATAATGTCCCGTACCGTGGATCGGGGATCCTAATGATGGAGATGCGTACAGAGACTGCATTTTAGAGATGCGTTGGCACTAGCACCGCTGAAGAGACGATATAAAATGGACAGGTGACCCGAGGGACCACCGACCAGTCACAACAATGCATAATCAATATATTAGATGTCATCAGAGGTCAGTGGTGTATTATCACACCATGTGTGATCACATCGTGTTCTTTCGCAAAAACACATCGCTTTTCCATCACAAATAACATATCGCAATTATATTACAAAAAAATATCGCAGTTATATGGCAGAGAACTGATCGCAGCGACATCGCATGGATGAAAATTAGGTGGGACAAAATAACATCCCTTTATCATTGCAGCGACGTCTATGCGATATTGCAGGTCACAATAGTTACATCGCTGCGATATCTCTGTGATCTGTGTTTGTTTGGACACTGTAAATCACTGTAAGTTTTCAATATAGCACCTCATTCTTGTATCAGTAATAGCATCAAGTACCTATATGAATTCTGAAGAATGAAGATATTCTGAATTTATCGTCTGTGTAAGTTTATAAAAAAGTAGGTAGCTATTTTGAATCGTTGGTGATTATTTTTCAGCACATATAATGCACAAAAATATGTTAGTAGCTGTTGATAACCATGAGAAAAACTAATTTTCGATAAAGACATCTGATTTTGATAAAAAAAAAAGTTACCTGTGGCGCATTTTTTGTTCGTTTCTGAATTCCACAGATCTATGTCCTGCTGAAAGTACAATTCCAGCCCCCCCTTGAAAAATTTACTGGTGACGCCCACGGTCCACACATAAATACCACCTTAGATCATTACGGCACAGGTTTGTTAATTTGTGATTACGGTCTGGCTACGGTGAAAGAAAAAGGAAAGGGAAAGATATCAAACTTGAGAAGAGTCATAAGTGTCATGCAATGTGTCATATGCAGTAGGGTCCCTTGATGGAAATTGACGTTAAAGTCATCCTAACAGGGTACGGACAGATCCTCGTCTCCTCTCACTCTAAAGTGTTTGTGAAACAGTTATATAGTTCCATCCTTATTCAATTCTAGGGAAAAACACTAGATTTTTGACATTCGTTGTTTTTTAGGTTATATTGAGGTCACTGGCGTATCATACGTAATTTCCATATGGAATTCCCGATTCAACTATACCAAGATATAGATGAACAGTCCTCTAGATTTAGAGTATACTACTCCAGCGTAATCTTTGCGAGGTAGGGAACATATAAATTGTACTGAAAGCTTAATATATTTCACTAAGAGAGAGACTGTTCTTAGACTGTATACTAGGGTTGACTGAATGGGGAAGACCACTGAGGGAAGAAATCCGTGCAAACCTCTTTCAATCGACGAATCATGATTTACGTTTGATCTACAATCAATATTATGAGTTGAAGTTGAAGGGAATCGAATCTATATCGTTTTGAAATAAGCATATTTCATTCGTTATTTCGAAAAGCCAAATATGATGGTGGAGCTGTGACGTATTAGTTCCGCACTGTAGCTATCTCTCTCTGATACCTCGTCATTCTGCATTGTTGCAGTGTGATTGGTGAGTTCAAGGACAATAGGCGTGTTGGGACTAAGACGTCGCACCAGTCTCACCAATGAATTGACAAAATTTCAAATGGCGCAGGGATTGTGTGTTTAGAAATGGACATATTCTAATTTATTTTTTTCATCGTCTTAGCATGAATGAAAAAATTCAAAATTAATTCACTGGTAGTTTTTCAGTATAGAGTTCACGATAATGTCGTTTCAAAAAATCAGTGGTCTCCCCCATTGACGGAATGAATTCTGATTTCAAGCTGAGCAGAAGTTTATCTATCAGCTTAATGAGCTGAGCCTTATGATTGAGAAATGATGGAAACCGAAACTACTGTACTTATTCATGTGTGCTCAATACAGTTTTGGAAATCCAGCTCGGTGAGGAATTTATGGAGTGACTAATATCACGTATATTATGTATGAAACTTTGTCTAGGACGAAAAGTAGGCTGATAAAAAGTAATACGTAAAATATGCAGGAAAATAAAGAATAGAATATACTTTACCCCCATGTTATACATATGATTTTTCCGTCCCCATCAAATTAAAAGTCATTTTCGAACAATTGATTGATAAAAGTAACAAAGATGTAGGTATACGCAGTATAACTTATAGTCACGTTATTTTCACTCTTGCATCCTACATATTTTCTATTTGTGGTAGAGTAATAATCATATAAACTAATGTCTTTCGCCATATCGAACCCGCCATCTTGAATTTTTCTACCCTACCCCGGAAACCCCCAGATACCAATTTTGAATAGAATCGAATCTCCATTACAAAACTCGTCCACCATAATGGATCTGCCATCATGAAAATCCCAATTTTGACGAATTAATTATAATCTCGGACCCCATTGACAAAAAATCATAAAGTTCGACCCCGAAAACCCCCAGATACCAATCTTAAATAGAATCAGATCATAATTAGAAATTTCTTTCGCTATACGGGCTGATTCACGGTGGCAGCGCTGAGAATATTTCAGGTCGATAGAACACAACTAATTATTCAAGGCACCAACTTTTCAGAATAATCCTGAGTTGCGTTTTCCAGAACCGTCTAATGCGCCATCCACCGTGAATCAGCCTGTATATTGGATTGGTCATCTTGAATTTTCCAAGTTTGACGAAACAATCATTATCTCCAACCTCGGAAAACCCCAGATATCTTCCAATTTTGAATAGAATCGGATCATAATTACAAAACTCGTTCGCTATATGATCTTCAACAAGTAAACACCCTGTACATACCTATTATTGAAATTTGTAGCGCCCATGGATGTGACGTGACAGCAATGTCAGGGATGCCAGTAGACAAAACTAAAGTCTCTAGATCATTAAAAAAGAATGCAGCTATGATCTGTCCGTACTAGGGTCCCTTAATGTAAACTGACGTATTTGTCATCTCTACAGGGTACGGACAGATCCTCGTCTCCTCTCACTCTAAAGTGTTTGTGAAACAGTTATATAGTTCCATCTTTATTCATTTCTGGGGATAAACACTAGATTTTTGGCATTTGTCGTTTTTTAGGTTATATTGGGGTCACTGGCGTA